AACTTTGTTCCCTTAACTATCTGGAGTTTGGTTGTCATGGTTGATTTGGTAGGGGATTTTAGTGATGTTGGTGTTTAGTTTGGATCATCAAATGTATTATTCGTTAGTTCTCAGCTAGTGCTGCAGTTTCTTTTACTTTTTGAAGCAAACATTTAAGTTTGCGTGCCTGCATCTCGTGTATTGGGCATTAGTCTACTAATTTCACATATGCTTGTGTTCAAGTAGAAGAAAGTTGATCTATAACCTCGTTATTCATTTTGGGATATGTATTTTATTCGAGAGTTTATACATACTGCTTGCTATTTTAATTTTTATAGATGTCGTTTAGGTGAATAAGGTAAATATTGTTTTATCTCTTTTTTGTTAAGTGAAAAAATCTCTTCTAGCTATGACATGTTCATACAAGATTGTGAATGACGCTACATTGTTCAACTCATTCACTGGTTTTATTTACAGGAACTTGCTAAATTATTGAACAATTGGATTCAGACCGGCAAGGATTTATAGTGTCTCTTCTTAACATGAGTTTTTATTGTTAGTTATTGGTTTAAATCCAAAGCCCCATAGTAGAAATACAAGATGCATTCCCTTCAACGAGTAGCAATGTCCGTTTCCAAAACATCCAGATTAAAAGTGAACACAGTTCCTAAAGTTTCTTCAACAATTCTAAATCCTCTTTCAAATTCAGCTACATCTCTTTTCAGTTCTTGGTCCACAAAGTCGCCTACCAACTCTAAAAACGACGATGATGATTGGAATGATGCCTGGGAATCAGCTTGGCTTCCAGAGGACCTCACGGGCAAGAATCGGGCTCCTTGGGAAACGGATGTCAATTTCCCGTCCATGACATCAACAACTGTGATGCCATCAGATGTTGACCCAGATACCAAGGCATTTGTTGAGGACATGAATGAAAACTGGAATGAGAGGCGAAGAGCGCCAAAGAACGAGGAGGAAAAGGAGACGAAACAGAATGTCAATGGTGATTCGCTTTATAGCTTGGAGACTATGAAGAAGGATTATAGATTGAAGAAGCAAAGGATCCATGCTGGGTTGTGGGTGAAGGAGATTGAGAAGCAAGAGGAGGCTAAGTTGGGGGATTCAGGTGGCGGTGTTGATGATGATATTGAGAGATTGCTCGATAGCTGCTCTGAGTATGTTCTTGCTTTCTGTTTGTTGCTATATATATATGCTGTTTCACTATAGCAATTGGGGAGTTTCTTGTTTTTCTTTTGTTTTATTTTGGGTGTCACATAATTGCTTATTGTCGAATTCGATGTGTGGTTTCATTGATTTTGTGGTGAAAATGGGTATCAAAGCACTATGCCTGCATATGCAAGAAATTTTTAGCTAGTTCTTCTGTGAATGATTATAATCATTGGATTTTGTGTTGAGAAAACGTACCTTGAAATTATAAATAATGATATTTTATTCAGAATTGCTAATTTTGTGATAAACTAAGCTTCTAAGTTGCTATTGAGAGGCCATGTTACGAGCATATTTCAGAATGATCAGTTGGAGCAATGTTGTAATTGTCTAGGGGAAGAGGTTAGCCATTCATGTTAGTTGTGTTTGTTGGTTTTTGCTGGAAATAACCTTGAAAAACTGCCTGCAGTGGAGATATGTTACTGACCAGCTTCCACATATGTAGGGTAGAATCAAAATCCATTAATTCGTTGAATCAATATCGTTGGAGAGATGTGAGCACTTGTTGTCTTAACAAATACCTAAGGTTGAAGTAGTTCGGTTGTTGGTTGGACCTGCCGGTCCACTTTTGGTGACAATAATACTGCTTGCAAGTGTGCTTGGGCACATATAGCTCGTCGTAAATGAGACACAAACCTGTCTGGTACTGATCCTCCATTTTGGCTCTGTTATATATATTTTTTGGAAATTGGGCTCTGGTGTCCGGCGGGGGGAGGATGGAAGATGCCTGTCGCCCTCTGTCCGCAGTCACTTCGATATTCGTACAAGTGTTGAGAAATTAGGGGACCAAAGTGCAAATTGCAATGGGTCTTGAATTTTTCCATGAAATTGGTTTTTTTGGTTCCAACTTCAGGAACTATACTTTTGCTTCCCCGTCTAAATGTAAAGAAGTTATCCCAACTTTCTCTTTGTTTGTTGTTCGTTGATACCGAAAAAGAAGTGTTATAATGGTTTAGCCAGTAAGGGTTCTGAATTGTTGTTAATGCATGGAAAGCGTTTAGCATATCGAAGTATTATCCCTCCTCCTCAGATTGCTCGCCAGCTCTAGAGGGGGCTTATCCTAGTGAATGACACTGTTGGCTTTGGCCCTGTGGCGCTTCCTCGACTTGGTTGCAAAGAGTTCTCAAGATAGAG